AACTCTGAAAAATGGAGCGCTAGTGGGCTCTTGTCATCTTTCTTCCTAACACTTCGGAGTTGTTCACCGATGCGTACCTGTAACGTACATGTAAGATTTGAGTAGCTGAGATGTGATCTGTAGAAATATGACAATGTAGATTTAGCATTCCATGATAATATAAGATGTGTTCAGAATTAAGTCAGAGACATATGGTCACCAATTAGCATCTGAAGGGACAGAGCTTCCTCTAGACTGGAGGTGACACCTAGATGCCACTAAGCGGGAGACCAAGAGAGGGCTCCGATCTGTCTAGGAGCTCTAAAGTATATCAGCAGATCAAAGGAATATATTTCATCTCTCATAAAAGCTAAAATATTACTTGCAGAGAGATGAAAATACTTCCTTCTGATTGGACACACTGTAGGCTACACCTGCATGTAAAACTGTATTTGTAGCCTATGTAGAATCCCAGAGAAATGCAGAAAATGGTTATATGGTGCCTGATTGCGACAGCTGAACAGTGATTAATATTGTCGCGATCGGACTGATGCGCTGGTGTCGGAAATTCAATCCCTGACTTGGTGATTCAAACCGTTGCTGCTCCAATCGACTTTGGGCATTTTGGTACCCAGAACGTCCTGTGGGCTGGTACAGGAACACCCCCCAGAGTCGATTGGCCAAGGGCTAATGTCCAGCCTACATCCATATTCCTATAAATTTAAATTGTGGACCTGGGATATGGACGGTGTGATTCGTACGGAGCCAGTTCTATCAGCTGGCGGATCGCAGACGTTCTTTGACTTGGTTTTTTATTCCTTTTTATTTTATAATCAATAGCCAATTGTGTGTCTTCTTGTATTTTTTTTGTATTTTCTGTAACTTTTTATACTTTGTACATATTTTATGCACTGCCCACTCTCTGGATATTAAATCATAAAATTAATAAGTGACTTCTGTGTACTAAGCTCGGGCTCATATCTCCAGAGAGATTAGATTGTATTGCATTTTAGTGTCTTTATATGCTCAGTCAAGTTCATTGCCAATCTGTATGCAATTGCACTGCATGTTGGCTGATTGCATGCAGATTGTAAAGGTAACATCTCCAGACGGAGATTGGTGTGTGTGTGGTGGCCCAGCAGGCCAGTCTGCGGATAAAACTGTTGGGTGGTGGCAAGCTACCGTTTGTGGTGTGTCTGGCGTGGGGGTGTGTGGACAGTGAAAGAGTGATTAACACCGGGGTTCTAGCTTGTAGGATAGCTGGAGGAATCCTAGAAGGGTGTGCCAATCGCTAGGCTGCTCCCCAACCCTTAGCGTGCACCAGATTGTATATAAGATTCGTATCTGCCTGTGTGTGGCTGGCCAGCTGGATTGGAGTCTCCCTCTAGTGGTGGCCAGAGGTAGTGCGGGCTGTGAAAGTATATCACGGCTGGTCTTATATGTATTCAGATTAAGTCCCCCTTATTCCCTCTTACCCCAAGTCACGGCTGCACGTGCCCGCCTGGGTTAGCTAGTAGCTGCGGGCGTGTGCATGTGAGTTGGATCCATGACAGATTATATAAGAGATGAAAATATATTCCTTTGATCTGCTGATATACTTTAGAGCTCCTAGACAGATCAGAGCCCTCTCTTGGTTCCTGCTGCCTCTGGAGCCGAAATGTCTAGAAGTAGGTGACAAGTCTTATTGGCATCTAGGTGTCACCTCCAGTCTAGAGGAAGCTCTGTCCCTTCAGATGCTAATTGGTGACCATATATCTCTTAATTCTGAACACATCTTATATTAACATGGAATGCTAAATCTACATTGTCATATTTCTATAGATCACATCTCAGCTACTCAAATCTTACATGTATGTTACAGTACCCTTAGCTGTCCCTTGGTTTTCCCTATGTAGTGTTTGTTGCATGGGCATTCTAGCATGTAGATAAGGCAAGTGGTAGAACAGTTGATTAAATCTTAAATAAAAGAAACGCTTCAAGCGGTCAGAGTTCATAAACTAGTCAACCCTATCTACATATTTTAAAATTTGGTAATGACCACCCGCATACATCCCTTCGAATGGGGGCAGTTCCGTAAGCCAGTTTTTTAATTGGTTGTTTAAAGAACTCCGAGTGCATCGAGTCCTTTAAATTAGATGTACACGTTTAAAAAATCATTTAAAAAGGCCTGAAGATGACACAAACCCCCCCAAGAAAATACTTAAGTTAATTTTAGGGCACAAAAAGCAATCCAGTTTTTTTGTAAAATATAAAAGACAAGATTGCATTGAGTAAATAGATAACCAGCATGTCAAACTTTAAATTTACATGCGCTCGTGAAACGGCAACAAATGTTAGTACCCTATATTTTCTATAACTGACACTTTTAAAGCCTCTTATAGGTCATCAGTATAGTGTTACAAAAGAGGTCTGGTACTAGAATTATTGCTCTCATTCTGGCGTGCGCGGCGATATGTAACACGTGTATCGCAATCAACTTTTCATGCGTAGGCGCCCCAGCGCGTGCTTTTACATTTGTGCGTGCGTGCGTGCGTACATACGTACATATGTGGTGGTGGGGGGGCCCAAATGCAAAATCGAGTCCCTTAGACTTCAATGCAAAATCACATCCCATAGACTTCAGTGCAAAAAAGTGTCCCAATGACTTCAATGCAAAATTGCGTCCCACTGACTGTAATGCTGTAATGCAAAAATGCCCCCTAGTAACTTCAATGCAAAAATGCCCCCTAGTGACTTCAATGCAAAATTGCATCCCACTGACTTTACTGTAAATAACACTCCCTAGTGACTTCATTGCAAAAACACCTCCCACAGACTTCAATGCAAAATCACATCCCATAGACTTCAGTGCAAAAAAGTGTCCCATTGACTTCAATGAAAAATTGCGTCCCATTGACTGTAATGCTGTTATGCAAAAATGCCCCCTAGTGACTTCAATGCAAAAATGCCCCCTAGTGACTTCAATGCAAAATTGCGTCCCACTGACTTTACTGTAAAAAACACTCCCTAGTGACTTCAATGCAAAATTGCGTCCCACTGACTTTACTGTAAAAAACACTCCCTAGTGACTTCAATGCAAAAACGCATCCCACAGACTTCAATGCAAAATCACTTCCCATAGGCTTCAAGGCAAAATCACCTCCGATAGGCTTCAAGGCAAAATCACCTCCCATAGGCTTCAAGGCAAAATCACCTCCCATAGGCTTCAAGGCAAAATCACCTCCCATAGACTTCAAGGCAAAATCACCTCCCATAGAGTTCAAGGAAAAAATCATCTCCCATAGACATCAAGGCAAAATCACCTCCAATAGGCTTCAAGGCAAAATCACCTCCCATAGGCTTCAAGGCAAAGTCACCTCCCATAGACTTCAAGGCAAAATCACCTCCCATAGGCTTCAAGGCAAAATCACCTCCCATAGGCTTCAAGGAAAAATCACCTCCCATAGGCTTCAAGAAAAAAATCACCTCCCATAGGCTTCAAGGCAAAATCACCTCCCATAAACTTCAAGGCAAAATCACCTCCCACAGACTTCAAGGAAAAATCACCTCCCATAGACTTCAAGGAAAAATCACCTCCCATAGACTTCAAGGCAAAATCACCTCCGATAGGCTTCAAGGCAAAATCACCTCCCATAGGCTTCAAGGCAAAATCACCTCCGATAGGCTTCAAGGCAAAATCACCTCCCATAGGCTTCAAGGCAAAATCACCTCCCATAGGCTTCAAGGCAAAATCACCTCCCATAGACTTCAAGGCAAAATCACCTCCCATAGGCTCCAAGGCAAAATCACCTCCCATAGGCTTCAAGGCAAAATCACCTCCCATAGGCTCCAAGGCAAAATCACCTCCCATAGGCTTCAAGGCAAAGTCACCTCCCATAGACTTCAAGGCAAAATCACCTCCCATAGGCTTCAAGGCAAAATCACCTCCCATAGGCTTCAAGGAAAAATCACCTCCCATAGGCTTCAAGAAAAAAATTACCTCCCATAGGCTTCAAGGCAAAATCACCTCCCATACACTTCAAGGCAAAATCACCTCCCACAGACTTCAAGGAAAAATCACCTCCCATAGACTTCAAGGAAAAATCACCTCCCATAGACATCAAGGCAAAATCACCTCCCATAGACTTCAAGAAAAAATCACCTCCCATAGACTTCAAGGAAAAATCACCTCCCATAGACTTCAAGGAAAAATCACCTGCCACATTAGTTATATTAAAAAAAATGTTTTTTTCAAAGTGTCTGTTTCAGTTTCGGCCAAGTGCATCCTGAATTTTAGGTTTCGGCACTGGAATTTCCATTTTGTTGCACCACGGTGTTTTTTTGATGGTAGATATCCTGTACACACTTGTACTTTTTGTACTTCGCAAGGATTTGAACAAGCTTTGTCTCAGATTCCTACCTTTTGTTATTCTGAAGAAATATTGCTTTGTCTGTGTCTCTGCGCAAAGTCAATGGGAGTGTTGTTTTCATTATAGATCAACTGACGCACAGGCAAATTTCCAACGAGGAAAGTGGCAGGGTCTGCATCCCTTTGGATGTGAATAACCCTATTCTTTGTTGCAGGGGATGCACAAAATCTGACTTGTATTTTAGTGTAGACTTCTGGGACAATCAGTGAGCCAATCACAGAAGCAGGAAATAACATATCATGGGGGCGCTCTGTACACCAGCTGTGTAGAGAACACCTCCAGGTTGCCATATTGCACTGCAGTTACAGAAAGTTACAGCACTGCAGGGGATCCACAAAATCTGAAGACTGAAAAGAAAAATTACATTTTGAACAAGATTCTATTACAGTATGGCTTGTGTTGCAATTGTATGGGCTATATCTTAATTTTCAATTTTTTTTCCCCCAAAAGCGGAAAGTGGTTTTTCCCCTCATGTGCAATCTCTGATGTTTGTAAAGAGTGGACTTCTGTGAAAAACATTTCCCACACTCAGGACAGGCATACAGCTTCTCCCCCGTGTGCAATCGCTGATGTGTGGAAAGATTGGACTTCATTGAAAAACATTTCCCGCACTCACCACAGGAATACGGCTTTTCCCTTGTGTGAAACCTCTGATGTATGACAAGTTCGGATTTTTTCACAAAGCATTTCCCGCACTCGGAACAGGAATACGGTTTCTCGCCCGTGTGCGATCTCTGATGATTGTAAAGAGAGGACCTGTGTGAAAAACATTTTCCGCACGCAGGACAGGAATACGGCTTCTCACCTGTGTGAGATCTCTGATGTAAGTTAAGATTGGATCTCCTCGAATAACTTTTCCCACACTCAGGACAGGAATACGGCTTTTCCCCCGTGTGAGATCTCTGATGTTTATACAGATTAGACTTCTGAGAAAAACATTTCCCGCACAAAGGACAGGGATACGGCTTCTCACCTGTGTGAGATCTTTTATGCAAATTAAGACCAGATTTAAAATGGAAACATTTTCCGCACTCAGAACATGGAAACCTCTTCTCTGTTAGAAGGCCGGCCCGGTCCCGCACAGTCTGAGGTTCCTCAGGATACGAGGAATCCGATGGTCCATCTACACTGGGTGGTGCCGGATGGACATTGGAGGGAGCCGGGTTTTCTCCTGGACTATACTGTGTGATGTCCTCATCTTCTACTTTCCAGTCTGGAGACAAAGTGAGACAATCCTCGGAGGTTTTCCTCATCTCCCGGCCATGGACTAAAATACAAAGACAAAGAGGATTACTAGACAGGAGCTGATTGGTTCCCCCAAACCAGGACTCCGCCCACATCAGGCAGCTTGGTCTCTGAGGAGCTTACAATTCCACCCTCAAGAGAACTAGGAAATGTCTCCTCTGATCTCCTACCAGGTCATTTCTTTATTCATGGACCTTAGTCAGAGAGTGAGGAAACAACCAGAACTGTCTTTTATAGGAGGGACAGTGATGAGGGGATTATAGGACGAGGGTCCCCTCCCCCTCTATCACTCATCGCCATCTTCCCAACACAAGAAGTACTGCACTTCCTTATTTAGTCCATGATTTAGTCATGAAGAACAGCGGGGCTGAGCCCCACCAGAGGCCAGAGAGTGAGGATGGGGGGAGAACCAAGATGAAGACTGGACTGATCCTGAAGACCACCATCATTGGGGTATTGACTCCTCCCTCATTATCACTTTCTGTTTAAGGGTCCAAAGTTGGAGGATGTTATCACATTATCATCACCATGTAAAAGTCTGTGCTCCAATCAGATCATTAGGTATAAAATCTGATGTTTTGATTGGATATAAAATATCCAGCAGGTGAAAAAGAATAAATGTTGAGTTTATATATAGCCGTGGGTAGAAGGTAGAGGGAAGAAATCAGGACTATGTCACGTACAGCTTATTGAATAAGATACAACAGTTAGAAATATATAGTAGCAGAATTATGTAATGTACAATAGTATACAGTACAGTATATAGTGCAGGGGTCAGGACTATGGAATGTACAACATGGAGTATATAGTGCAGGGGTCAGGAGTATGTAATGTACAGCATAGTGTATATAGTGCAGGGGTCAGGAGTATGTAATATACAACATAGAGTATATAGTGCAGGGGTCAGGAGTATGTAATGTACAACATAGAGTATATAGTGCAGGGGTCAGGAGTATGTAATGTACAACATAGAGTATATAGTGCAGGGGTCAGGAGTATGTAATGTACAACATAGAGTATATAGTGCAGGGGTCAGGAGTATGTAATGTACAACAGAGTATATAGTGTGCAGGGGTCAGGAGTATGTAATATACAATATAAATTAAATAGTGTAATGGTAAAGACTTATAATAATGGAGTTCAGTTATCAGTGGAAGATTAAATGTTTATTTGCAGAGGTCCCACACCGCTGCCTCCCATCTCCTGAGACTGCACTCAGTGACTTGGGTCTGAGACTATACAGACATATCCCTCCACCCGGCACAGCCAGCAGATATCAGAGTAACCCTCAACATTTTGCTGCCAGCTGAACCCCAGAATCTCCATAAATCCAGTCTAGATCCATAAATTGTGTCTGCAGCACAGAGAAGGAAGATTATCCGAGAGAAATCCAGGAATACAGGACGGGGAACACAGCTCAGGAAAGTGACCAGGGGATTACAGGCTGATATCACCCAGTCCCCGCCCTACTCTGGACCAATCAGTGAGCAGTATGGGTGGAGGAATGGATTTAGTGTTCATGACCCACCTGTGCTGATCTCTGTAGGAGTGTCCTCCTCTATAAATGTCCCCGTTATTCCATCCTCCTCCATAGACTGCTGATTATTCCTAACATACGCCTCTTCTGCTTTACCCTCAACTTTTACACCCTAAGCCAAGAGAAGGAACAAAAAAAAACAAATCTGTAAAACATAAACTTTAATGATGTGACATCCCCAAAAAAATCCACACATCCACTAGTCCATGTTCTAAATGCTCTGTCCCACCAACCTTGTACCGGTGAGGGATGGTGTTATCTTCCTGTGTGGAATCCTGGGAATACAGAGGACGGGGACATCTCTCTGGTGGGTTCCTGGTATTAGGTGGCTCCATCATATCCTTGTGTTCTTCTGAATATTCCTTTATGACTCCATACTCCTCATCCTCCTCTTTATACTCTTCTTTAACTACAATAATATAATCTCCGAGGTTTCCACTCTAAATATTGAATAAAACATTCATTGTAACAAACATACTTCTGTGTAAATCCTAATTACTAGTGATTGTTCCTCCATCTACCTGATGATGGTGAGGGATGGTGTGATCTTCCTGTGTGGAATTCCGGGAATACAGAGGACGGGGACATCTCTCTGGTGGGTTCCCATGACTGGATCCATCTGTAGGAAACACACACACTGACTGAATCCATTGTTTCTATGTGTTTATCAGATGATGGGGGATCTAGGTGGATCCTCCATACTGCTCTCTCCTTTACAATAAAGTCTCCTCTTACCCGGTGATGTGAGGGGCGGCTGATTGTCCATCATGACGTCCTTGTAGAGATCCTTGTGTCCTTCTATATTCCGAGCACCTCTCACCTCTCCTGTCAGCAGCTCCATCATTTTCTTGGTGACTTCTAGAATCTTCTGCATGTTGTGTCTTTTAGGTTTTAGGGAGTCACATGGAGGCACTGTGATGGTCATATGATCACCTGACTTCAGACGAGCAAATCTCTGTTTTGAAGAACCAACCAAAAGGCATGTTAAAATCCCAGAATCCTCCTCACCTCTCCGGCCAGGTCTGTGTTTTATTAATAGAGATAAGAGTGATGTCATGTGACCTCCCAGAATCCTCCTCACCTCTCCGGTCAGGTCTGTGTTTTATTAATAGAGATGAGTGATGTCATGTGACCTCCCAGAATCCTCCTCACCTCTCCAGTCCGGTCAGGTCTGTGTTTTATTAATAGAGATGAGTGATGTCATGTGACCTCCCAGAATCCTCCTCACCTCTCCGGTCAGGTCTGTGTTTTAATAGAGATGAGAGTGATGTCATGTGACCTTCCAGAATCCTCCTCACCTCTCCAGTCAGGTCTGTGTTTTATTAATAGAGATATGAGTGATGTCATGTGACCTTCCAGAATCCTCCTCACCTCTCCAGTCAGGTCTGTGTTTTTATTAATAGAGATATGAGTGATGTCATGTGACCTTCCAGAATCCTCCTCACCTCTCCGGTCAGGTCTGTGTTTTATTAATAGAGATAAGAGTGATGTCATGTGACCTCCCAGAATCCTCCTCACCTCTCTGGTCAGGTCTGTGTTTTATTAATAGAGATAAGAGTGATGTCATGTGACCTCCCAGAATCCTCCTCACCTCTCCGGTCAGCAGGTAGATGATCTCCAGGGTGAGGTTTAGTATCTTCTCAGTCATGTGACTCCGGTCCTCCTTCATCCTCATTGGTGCCATCATGTGATCTATACCTCTCCTTGTAGACGGATAACTTTGGGAAATGAAAGTAAGAATGATTTGGATGGTATTGGTCACACAATAATAGGATGTGGATGTGAGGGGGGAATAGGAGGGTTGATGGACATTGAAGAACTACTGACCCCATGGGAAGACATTTAGTTTGGACTGTTTAATGTTTCTTACATTGTACTAATTTCAGTAAAACCCAAATTCATTTCTTATCCCTCGTTCCAAGCAACTATTAACCCCACTGGCGGTATTCCCGAGTGTAGCTCGGGGTAAAATTTCAGTAGCAGAAGAGGTAACCCTGAGCTACACTCGGGAATACCCTGCAGCGTTGCTCTGGGATCCCTGGATCACTTACCTTGTCCTGCGCTCCCGCTATGTCCCCCCTGCAGCGTCCCCGCCCATCTCTTCCAGCCGATGCCGGAATTCGTCTTCCGGTCCCTGCGAGCGTTGGGACGCACAGGGGACGGAACCGGCGGGAGATTCAAAAATGTCAAAATTTGACGTACACATAATACACTAAAATCTGATAGTATTACATTCCTGTATCAAACCATTTCACATACATTTGGTCCCGAGTGCTTTGTCCGGCGCCCTGCCTGCACTTTTACTGTTTTTTCTGCCTGGAAACTGAGAAACGTCCATGGCGTCCAAAAAGCGTCCCTTTAGGTCAAAAGCGGTTTTAGACCGGCTAGAGAACACCGATAGTAAATCAGAACCACTTGCAGAATTGAGTGATAATGATTCGTGGGGGAAATTCCTCATCAGACACTGAAAACGATTCTGCGACTGAGCTCAGCGATGTGCGAACTTGGCGCTATATTTCACATTTCAGTGTTTTCGGTTTGATTATATTATTGAATTAAATGTATTATTATTATATTATTATTTTTTATGATTATTTATTATATTATAAATTATGATTTCGTGCTTCAAAGTTTATCATCCCGGGATGTTTACTAGACTCTTGTTCGGACAGATTTCAGTGAGTATTCCTAAAAATTACAGGCCGACAATAAAAAAAATACATTATTTCCATGCAAAAACATTTACCGCTTTCAGCACAGAAATGCTGACATAATCAGACCGCTAGGGAGGTTAAGGTGAAAAGGTGACAGATCTTAAAAAATGGAAAAAAAAAATGTTCCGTGAAGGGGTTAATCTGGGTTCCCACACTATATATGTATCATCATCTGCTGGAGATAAAAGACGTCACAGTGACTATGGAGGAAGAGGAAGGTTGAGGAAGTGACTATGGAGGAAGAGGACAGACATGACTATGGAGGAAGAGGACGGACGTGACTATGAAGGAAGAGGACGGACGTGACTATGGAGGAAGAGGACAGGCATGACTATGGAGGAAGAGGATGGACGTGACTATGGGGGAAGAGGACGGCATGACGGGGGGGGGGGGGGTTACTGGGTGGAAATAGGAAATAACATCTTATTACCTCCTCTGCTGCCACTTCCACCAACGTCTCCTCTCTACTTCCTCCCCACTCACCTCTCACCCGGAACTTCCTGTCTGTACCTGACATCACTTCCTGTCTGCATTCCATAAAGTCTTCCTGTCTGGGTAGAAGTGAGATCAACATCTTGTGGAGCTCAGAGGAACTGCAGCCCCGAGAACCGTCTCATAGTTTGAACCCGGCCTTGTGCTGTGTGTATGGACTGTAGATCCAGGGCTCAAATTTGAAGTATGGAGCTACTAGCCAGGACTTAAGAGTTGCTCATCGCCAGTTTCCCCACCTAACCCCTACCCTGCCCCGCCCTTAATTCCTCCCATAAACACGCACTCGTAAATTATCTCAAGAAGTTCCACTATTAAATGTTTTATGCAGAAGGAAGGAAGGAAGGAAATGGAAGGAAGGAAGGGAGGAGTGGAAGGGAGAAAGGAAGGGGTCCGTGGAAGGAAGGGAGGGAGGGAGAGGTGGGTGGAAGGAAGGACAGGATGGGTGGAAGGAAGGGAGGGAAGTAAGGCAGGGATGGGTGGAAGGAAAGAAGGGAGACATGGGTGGAAGATAGGAAGGAAGAGTGGGATGAGTGGAAGTAAGGAAGGGAGGGGTGGGAGGCAGGAATAGAGGGGTAGGTAGAAGGAGGGAAGGGAGGGGGGTAGGTAGAAGGAATGGAGGGGTGAGTGGAAGGAAGGTTGGAGTGGGTGCCAGAAAGAGAGGGGTGGGAGGCAGAAATAGAGTAGGTGGAAGGAGGGAAAGGGAGGGAGGGGTGAGTGGAAGGAAGGTTGGAGTGGGTGCAAGGAAAAGAGGGGTAGGTGGAAGGAGGGAAGGGAGGGGTAGGTAGAAGGAAGGAAGGGAGGGGTGAGTGGAAGGAAGGTTGGAGTAAGTGCAAGGAAAAGAGGGGTGGGAGGCAGGAATAGAGGGGTAGGGGGGGGAAGGAGGGAAGGGAGGGGTAGGTAGGTGGAAGGGAAGGAAGGGAGGGGTGAGTGGAAGGAAGGTTGGAGTGGGTGCAAGGAAGAGAGGGGTAGGTGGAAGGAGGGAAGGGAGGGGTAGCTAGAAGGAAGGAAGGAATGGAGGGAAGGAAGGGAGGGGTGACTGGAAGGAAGGTTGGAGTAAGTGCAAGGAAAAGGGTGGGAGGCAGGAATAGAGGGGTAGGTGGAAGGAGGGAAGGGAGGGTAGGTAGGGGAGGAAGGAAGGAGGGAAGGAATGGAGGGGTGAAGGGAGGGAGGTTGGGTGAGGGTGCAAGGAAGGTTGGGGGTGTGGGGGAAGGGGGGAGGGGGGTGGGTGGAAGGAGGGAAGGGAGGGGTGAGTGGAAGGAAGGAAGGTTGGAGTGGGTGCAAGGAAAAGAGGGGTGGGAGGCTGGAATAGAGGGGTAGGTGGAAGGAAGGGAGGGTAGGTGGAAATAATGGAGGGGTGAGTGAAAGGAAGGGAGAGGTTTGTGGAAGGAAGATAGGAAGGGAGGGGTGGAAAGAAGAGTGGGGTGGGGGGGGGGGGGGGGGGGAAGGGGGGGGGGAAGGAATGGGGGTGCAGTGATGTAACACTCTGATTTCCTGATGCAAACATGGCAGCATACTTATGATATACAGTTGCAAGAAAAAGTATGTGAACCCCTTGGGTTACATGGGGTTTTGCATGAATTGGGAATAAAATGTGCTCTGAACGTCATCTAAGTCACAACAATAGAAGAACACAGTCTGCTGAACATAATACTACACAAACATTAGATGTTGCCATGGTTTAATTGCACATAACATGTAAACATTCACAGTGCAGGGAGGAAAAAGTATGTGAACCTTTGGACTTAATAACTGGTTGACCCTCCTTTGGCAGCAATACCTCAACCAAACGTTTCTTGTAGTTGCAGATCAGACCTGCACAATGATCTGGAGTCATTTTGGACCACTCCTCTTCACAAAACTGTTTCAGTGTAGCAATATTCTTGGGATGTCTGGTGTGAATCGCTCTCTTAAGGTCATGCCACAGCATTTCAATCGGGTTGAGGTCAGGACTCTGACTGGGCCACTCCAGAAGGCGTATTCTGTGCTGTTGCAGCCATTGTTTTGTTGAATTACTTGTATGCTTTGGGTCATTGTCCTGTTGCATCACCCATCCTCTGCAGAGCTTCAGTTGGCGGGACAGATGGTCGTACGTTTTCCTGCAAAATGTCTTGATAAACTCTGGAATTCATTTTCCCATCAATGACAACAATCCGTCCAGGCCCTGAGGCAGAAAAGCAGCCCCAAACCATGATGCTCCCTCCGCCATGTTTTACAGTGGGGATGAGGTTTTGATGTTGGTGTGCTGTGCCTTTTTTTCTCCACACATAGTGTTGTGGGGGCTTCCCAAACAACTCAATCTTGGTTTCATCTGTCCACAGTATATTTTGGGGGTAGTGCTGTGGAACATCCAGGTGCTCTTTTGCAAACTTCAAACGTGCTGCAATATTCTTTTTGGACAGCAATGGCTTCCTCCGTGGTGTCCTCCCATGGGTCCATTCTTGTTTAATGTTTTCCTTATTGTAGATGTGTCAACAAAAATGTTAGCATGTGCCAGAGATTTCTGTAGGACTTTAGCTGACACTCTGGGATTCTTCTTTACCTCATGCAGCATTCTGCGCTGTGCTCTTGCAGTCACTTTTACAGGACGACCACGCCTAGGGAGAGTAGCAACAGTGCTAAACTTTCTCCATTTGTAGACAGTCTGTCTTACCG